GCTCTCTCTGACATCACCAGAAGCAGATGACTCAGTAAGGAGATGTGAAGGCAGGTCCTGGCCTCCCTGAGATACACTAATCAAACCTCCAAAGATGCTCAGAAGTCACGAGGTTCCCCAAAGGGAGGAATTATGATCAGATGTTTGTTTTGTATAGAGCTGTGACTCTCATGTGCTTTTTCAGGATAAAGTCTGTGGTCTTTGCAAAGCCTGTCATATGGTCCCCAAAGAGCTAAGTTATAACCTGGAGTGCACATGAAAGTGGAGCTCTGGGGAAGCATGCATAGCTGGGGGGAAGATCAACTCTGTTCTCAGGGCTAGCAACAGTTGACCTGTGGGGATCCCAGCGTGGGTTTACACAGCACCCTAAACTCTAAATAAGATTCGCAATTTGCACTACGCAAATTGTGTATCTTATCTCAAATCTATTTCAAAATAGCTTATTTTGAAATTTGGAGCATCTACACAATGCCAGATTTCAAAATAGCACGCTATTTTGAGCCATGCCTTATCCCTCGTGCAATGAGGTTTACTGGGATGATGAAATAGCGTGCCTGTTATTTTGAAAAATATTTCAAAATAAAGGATGGCTTGGGTAGACGCAGGGTAGCTATTTTGGAATCTCGAAAAAGCCATGCACTGTAGACGTACCGCCATGTCCCAAGGAGAGGCTGCAAGATCCAGAAACAGAGGTAGTTTCTTGACACTTCTCATACCCAGCTGACTTGGTAGCATGTGGGATCTATAGCATAGGTCTAATACAGCAGTCTGGTGCCAGATCACAAGGGAGAAACTCAGTCAAGGACGAAAAGGAACTCATGGACACCTCAAACTGAACATTAGGAGTAATCCATTTTTGATGGCTTGTTGTCCATAACATTATGAATAGTTCTAGATGTTGGCACTTATTTAACAAACAAAGCAACAGTGGCCTTATGTGTACAGCTATGTAGCATTCATGGCATGTTAAAAAAGTACTTGTGTTATGTTCTACGCCAGTGTTTCTGAAAGTGTTCCACAAAATCACTGTCAGAAACAAATTAACTGACCACCCTGGATTGTTCATTTACTGGCACTACAGCCACGGAACCTCGCAGCTCCCATTGGCTTTGTTTCATCCTTTGTAGCCAAGGGGAGCTTCCCATGGCTCTCCTTGGCTGCAAAGGACAAAACAGAGCCAATGGGAGCCACAAGGCTCCGTGGCCACGGCGCCAGTAAATAAACAAACTGGGGTGGTCAGTTAATGTGTTTCTGCAAGTGATTTTGCAGAGCACTTTCAGAAACTCTGGTCTACACAATCTTACCTAACATGTTACAAACAAAACAAAACTGCAGCTATCCTTCCCACATAGGCACAATAATCAAACAACTTAAAATACCCCATCTTTCCAACTACATCAATCTCCAGCCATTACTCTAAAAGTCAGAGAAAATGATGAATCTTGTACCTTTTCACTTCAACACCTGGGGGTTATTTTAGACCAGCAATAAGACGGTTACTTCCCTTCCAGAGAATACTCTGCTAGCAATTCCCTTTTCAAATATATCTATGCTTGAAAAAACCTGCAGCAGCAAATCTCAGAACCCAGATCAACTGACTCAGTTTTGCTGTACAGGGCTAAATATAGCAGTATAAAATTTCCACAAATGCAGCCACGAATGGATATTTTGCAGCCACAGCAGCCTTCTCGGAGGAGACTGGGGGGCAAGAAGGAGAGGGGAGGCAAAGCAGCAGCTTCTCCATAAAGTGCCTGGCAATTTCTCCTGGATACACAGGATCAGCACCCTGCAAGCATAACCCCCTCAGAGGCTCTGGGCAGCACCTCTGGAGACACATTGACCTTGTAGGCACAGAGCCAGAGGAATGTGGGACTCTACAGAAGGCCAGAGTTCCCAACCACCTTCCAGAGGTGGCAGGATTTGGGCTTCAAAAAACTGTACGCCAGCAAGAATTGGTGTCTGCATTTTGAGGCCACCAAAAACTTGTGAAGGAACCCTTCACAGTTATTTGTAGACATATAACATGAGTCCAAGTCAGTTGATCCATATGGAGATATGCTGCCATTGTTTTTTTGGGTTGGTTTTTTTTGGCCAGTGTAGATATATCTTTAGTGACCAAGAGAAATCCAGCTTCAATGCCTCCCCTAATGACAACTGTGGCATTGTCACATGGAATGAGAAACAGGTCTCTCTGGAATATTGGTCCCAAACCATTTACGGCTTTAGAGATGAACAGTGTAAACTCCTGCTGGAAACACATAAGTAATCAACACAGAACATTGAACACTGGGTGTGATATTGCTGTAAATTAAGTTAATAGTCACTGATAAATTAACACACATTGAGAGTGTGCTCCTGCTCCTATTCCAGAGAGACCTGTTTCTCATTCTGTAGCAAAATTGCTATTGACTTCAGTGGCAGCAGGAGCTGGCTTAAGGAAATTTAATATTTGTTGTTTATAACGTACAATGCATGTAGCCCAGTGTCATGTCTCAGACAGCAGTCACTGCCAGATCCTTTGGAAGGTGAAAAAAAAATCCAACACTAGGCAAATGTGAAATTATGCCTCTCATTAAAGAGTCTTATGCTCATCCCAAATAGGAAATTTGCATGAATCCTGAAGCATGAGATTTTATATCCCTTCCTTAAATTAATCTTTTAAATTCAATATTAGATGTCTAATCACTGTTTGAATCTTGCTAAATTTGCAGCTTCGGTGACATCCTGGCTACGTCTAGACTGGCATGATTTTCCGAAAATGCTTTTAATGGAAAACTTTTCTGTTAAAAGCATTTTCGGAAAAGTGCATCTAGATTGGCAGGATGCTTTTCCGCAAAAGCACTTTTTGCGGAAAAGCGTCCGTGGCCAATCTAGACGCGCTTTTCCACAAAAAAGCCCCAATCGCCATTTTCGCGATCAGGGCTTTTTTGCAGAAAACAGTACTATGCTGTCTACACTGGCCCTTTTGCGCAAAAGTCTTTCGGAAAAAGACTTTTGCCCGAACGGGAGCAGCATAGTATTTCCGGAAAAGCACTGATGATTTTACATGAGATCGTCAGTGCTTTTCTGGAAATTCAAGCGGCCAGTGTAGACAGCTGGCAAGTTTTTCCGGAAAAGCTGCTGAATCTAGACACAGCCCCTATGGCTGTAATTTCCACAGATTAATTATGTTGAGTGATAAAATATTGATTTTGAATTTTCTACCTTTGTTTAACTTTGTCATTTCCTTTTGTCCTGTTATGGGACGAGACACAAGCTCCTTTTCTATTCCATTAATTATTTTATACATTTTTGTCATGTCGCTATTCTACATTTCTTCTCTGAGTAGTTCTAGTCATTTCTGTACAATCGGTGCTCATATGGGAACTTTCCCTTAAAACAATGCATAAAATAAAGCTGTATTTACTTCAGCAAATTGTTTATTAACAATTGTGAGAGCTATAATAACATATCAAAATATACCATCATGAAGAGAAGGAAGATACATTTCCTGGTCTTAGCGGAGTTTGTTCAATTGTAGATTGAATGCATTAAATTAAAATGTGTAGGAGAATTGTGACATTAAGTTTAGTCTAACGGTGATAGTTGGAGGCTGTATAATTATGTTTTATGTGCTTTGCCTTGTCAGCCACTCTTCTTGATAAGCAGGAAGAAACACCCAGTGCTGTTGGAAAATATGCATGGGGTTAGCTGTCAGTGTCTACACCAATAGTGAGGCAGGAAAAGGCCAGAAAAGTCTCTGACTTTTAATATGGTCACTTTTATCCTAGGTTAATGCTCTACTTAGTAATAACTGCATGATTTCTATAAAGACGTATGTCCCTACTCATAATTACTGTCCTCTGTCCTCTGTGTATGTGAGAGAGAAGTGCATGGTATGGTAATAGAGAGAAGTCAGAAGATGTCAGTACTTGATAGTCCAGATGTCCAAAGAGAAGGAAAAGATCAAGAGGAACTGGTCAAACTATCAGAACACAACAAGGATGGAGGAAAGGTAGATTGACAACCCTAAAGCATAGGCATACTCCCCCAAAGGCAAGATAACAAAGGCAAAACCACATGCACAAAATCCCCATGGACAACCTTCAAAATGCGGATGAAGGATAAATGCTGGGAAACCCCGAGTAATGATGATGGGATAAAACCCCACTTAAGGATTAATGATCACAGCACAGCATTGCAAAATCCATAGACTGAAATGGGAACTGACAACTATAAATATAGGGTATGCTGCTATGGTTCTTTTGGTTTGTCCTGCAAGATTTTGGAACATCAGATCACAACCAACAGGGCCCAGCTCCTCAGTCAAGCTCAGTATAACCGGCCATTAGATAGACTCAAGCCATGAAAGACTGGTAACTATCAGACCGTCTCTAGGACCTGCATGCATGTGTGAATGAATGCATATACTGATTTTTAAAGCTGTATTTCCAATAAACATGGTGTGCTGCCTTTTCCCCTGAAAAAGATCCCATGTGATATTTATAAGCATAACACTATTGAGGTATTAAAAGGTTTTTATTAGAGCTAAGATGGAATAAGATTTTGCATTAAAAAAAATCTGGGATTTTAAAAAAAAGTTTCTTGTGTAGTACACACTGGAATTGGGGTGGGGAGGTTTGGCAGATTGATTTCTTAGCTCTTTTGCTATTTGGTGTCTTTGGGAAACATGGATCGAGGGAGCCCTGGTTCTGATCCAGCCCAAAGTCAGGTAAACCTGGTTTGGGGCAGTCTGTGTGGTGGGCTTCCCCAGAGCTGGGAACCTTGTAAGTTTGGGCTGTGCAAGATTCCTGGGCTTGAAAGGGAGCCTGGACTGTCAGCCTGCAAGCAATTTAGCAAGGAGCTGGGCAGAGTTTCTGCCTGTTTTCCATCAGGATTAGCAGAACTTCTGACAATTTGGTGTTTTCTGATGGACAAATACTCAGTCAGAACCCCAGTTTTCATATTTTTGCTGTCCCTTTCTGTGCACCTTCCATTTTTCATACTATATGTTTTCCCAGACCAAAGCCAATACTTCATCGCTCCAGTCTATTCTGCATATACAGAAGGGATTAAGCCAGTCCAAGGTTATAGCCAGCCCTGTGGCCATCAACAGAAGCAAACAAAGACTTTGAAGTCTGATGCATTTACAGTTAAGTCAACTGCCCAATTTAGTGTTTTTGAACAAATAATTATGTTTAAATACAATCACAATCATGCCTATTTAATAACTGCACTTCTAAGAAAGTCACGGAAAGATGCAGTTACCGTATTTTCCGGCGTATAAGACGACTTTTGATGCTAAAAAACATCCCCCAAAAATCGGGGGTCATCTTATATGCCAGGTATACACATACAGGCAGTCCCCAACTTGCAGGTACGAACGGGGCTTTTCTCGCCCCGGAGGACACGGACTGCGGGACCTCGCGGTCCCGCCGCCCGTGTACTCCGGGGCGAGAAA